GTTTCCTTTTCCTTTTGTCCTCATTTCTCAAGCAAGATGTTGGGATGCGCAGAACGTTCAAAGATCCATGGATCTAGTTACAATAAAGGATACCTGATGGCGGAAGATCAGGGAAGGGTTTAGAGTTCTAGGGTCTTGATGAATGCTTGGGAATTTGAGATGAGAGCAAACACCTCTCTCTCTCCCTCCCATATTCCTACCCACCCACCCCAGCCTCAGCTGGCCCACCACAGCTAAGAGCCATCTTCTCGGCCACCTCTTCTTCCAACGTGCACTTGGAATGTGGAGTACATACAAAACATATTGACCCCAGGGCTGTGGGCCATTTCTAACAGCTGTACCTCAGACACAGCAAGACAAACCAACTGGATGACAATGCATGCTCTATGGCCAGGCCCTGGTCATGCCCCTAAAGTGGCCGATTAGGTGAGTCAGCCCAGAAGAGGGCAGCCTGGCAGCCTCCTTTGGGGTCTGTTTTTCTTCCCTCAGCAGAGGAGGCTCAAAAGGAAACTCCTGGCTAAATAGAGTCAGGAGGCTGGGAAGAGTGAGAGTGGGGTCCTGTCTCTGCCCCAGGCTGAATTATCCTCATTACTGTTCACTTTGAGTTAGGCTAAAAGCAGACAGATGGTCTTTTTTCATTTTTGTCTCCTTTCGTAGATATCCTAAAGACTAGAAAGTGATATAATTTAAAGTTAACTAAAAGCAAGTACAGCTGCAGCTTGGCTTTTCCTGCCCCTCTCCTTCCCCTGGGTCTGCCTCTCCCAGCCCCTGCAGCCTTCTGTTGTGTGGCCCAGGGCACCAGGTGGCATTGTGCAGGGCACAGCAGCAGAGGTTGGGCAGACTTCCCTGGTGGAGCCGACCTCACGATCTCACGTTAGTCACTCACTCAGATAAGTTGGAGCCAGGTCCGGTTTCCAAGTTGAGCAGGTGACTCTAACTGCTCTGCAGCATGACCAACAATGGTGCTTGTTTCTGCTCTGCCTTCCACTCCAAAGTCCACTGCTTTAGCTTTAAGTTGCATATTTGGTTCCTCTCTCAGACGCCCTAGGGAGGGGTTAGACCTGTTTGCTTTGGAAGCCATTTACACAATTAGCCCAGTTCTCCACTCATTAGGGGCACTGTGTGTTTACACTGGTGGTTGTACAAGAGATGACCCAGACAAAAAGGAGTAGAGGCTTTCCTGCAGCACAACTTCCTTAGCATGATCAGGGACTCCCAGACCATTGCTTTGCTTCTGACCTTCAGAAGGTATCCCAGTCAGACCAATTAACTGCCCTTGGGCACTTTAGATTCGTGTGTGTGTGTGTGTGTGTGTGTGTGCGTGCTTGTCATTGTGCGGCACCTGCTGAGAGGCCCATTACAACCCCACTGAAAGCTCAAAGACTGACACAGAACTGGAAGGACTGAGGATCTGAGAAGAGAAATGCCTCATTATTTGCCCACCAACCTAGAAGAACTGCCTCTGCAGTGCTAGGGCTCCTAGGAAGTAGGAGTGTGTGTGAGGGGACTTCAGAAGGTTTGTAGGGCAATGGAATTAAAGTACAAGTTTATTTTGCTGTGTTTTTGAAATCCATGCGTGTTTTTTTGTTTTGTTTTGTTTTGTGATTTTGCCGTAAGGCATGTGCACTTATCAGAGAAAGAGAAAGTGAGAAACCACTCCCAGGGAGGATGCCCACACTGCAGCCCCTTCTCCATTCTCCTCTAAGGATTTTGGGTGGGCACACATGTACCTGGTGTGTTTTATAGGCTGCTGGGTTTGAGACTCGAACCATGAAATAGGCCATGTGCTATCCAGCTGCCCTAACCACCACCCCATCTGGCTGACACCACGGTTTTTTCAAAATACACGTTTTTCATGATTTTTTTTTTAATATCCCCTTATCTCTCAAGAGGCCCAGCCTGGTTTTGAAAAGAGCATCGGGAAGACACAGTGGGTAGGTGGGCAGGAATATCCAGGAGTGACAGCAGGCGTGTCCTGACCCGGGGGACAGTTGAACAGGTTTCCTGAGGGAAGGAGTGAGAGACAGGACAAGCGGCGCAGAGATGATGCATGCAGTGTTACAACACGGAGACGACATAGTGTCTTCAGGGTCGTCCATTTATTGTGGGCAGCACGGTACTGCACGGAGACGACGCAATGTTACAACTCTTCAGGGTCTTCCAGGTGGTCTGTGTGTTTGTGGGCCAGGGATCGTGGTTATATACATGCTGGTGGGCTGTGATTGGTTGTAAAAGGTGGGTTATGATTGGTTGTAAAAGGTGGGTTATGATTGGTTGCTTTGTGGACCAATCATGAGGTGCCGGATATGAAAATCTGAGGGATTCTAGTGGCCAATCAGAGTATGGTTTTGAAGGTGAGGTTTTGAAGGGAAGCCAATCATGGCTTTTGGCATTGTGTAATTGTTCTCTGAAAAACCCGAGATATTCACTGGTGCACAGCCTCCCACACAGGCGCCCTGGGAACAGAGCCTGAGAGCCAGTCTTACTTCTGGGGTCTTGGAGCTGATGGGGCTCTCTCCTTTGGCAGATCTGGTGTTGCAGTGAGAAAGCCCAGCGCATACCGGTTTCAGAGACGGCTTGCTGTGGTAGCCAGAAACCAGACTTGACTAAAAGCATGCCAGAGATTTCTCTAAGATAGCACATTCTGGGCATTGCGGTCCATGTCAGTGTTAACCGTGAGCATGTGTGCCTCAGTGGCTTAAGCTGGATTACAATCTGGGACAAAGGAGTCCCCATCCTCAACTTAAGTCATAACTGCCCTGTTTTGCTGAGCATCTGGTCAAACATCGTAAAATAATTCCCCTCCTCTTCTATGTCTGGCCCATGTGTTCAGATTCAGAGAGGGGCTGGGAAACAGGCTTAAGAACAGGTCATGATAATGATAAGGAGTAAATGGAGCCCTTAGCCTGTCCCATGCACCTTCCCTGCCTCTCATAGATGTTAATTCATGTAATTCTCACCATGTCCTTATGAAGTGGGTGATCTCACTACTCTCATTTTATGGATGAAGGAATTAGAAATGGAGTAGATGAAAAATCCACTCAAGTGTATGCAGCTAGCAAATGTAGCAAAATCCAGACTTGCATACCCGGCGATTTGACTGGCCCAGAGTGTGTGTTTAAACACTGAACCACACTGAGGCGGACAGGAAGCTTGCTCAGGATCACGGTTACCAGTAGAGTCACTCCCCGGGGGGATGGGGATGGTCACATCACAATCCCTTCTCTTCTATCTAGTCAACCTCTGGGAACATTTGCAAAGAAAGAGTTTCTTCTTTCTGCCCCTCTGAATCTCCAAGTCACATTCATAGTGCCCCTTCTTCAAATGGGCATTTGGGTCCCCCTATTTACCTTTTCCCTTCCTCCACTCATTCCAGATTACTGAGGTTGGGGAAAGATGAGTCACTTTTATTTTATTTTACTGTCTTTCAGTCTAAAAAAAGCCTAGAAGAAACTCCCTGGGATATGTTAACAAAATTAATGTAGAGATTTCAACCTGTCCCAGATAAAATTAATTTTTGCCTAGCCTCCTTGAAAATATCAAGCAGGGTTTTCAAACCTGTTGAAATTAAAATCTATATAACTGCAGATACCAAAGAGTAAAACATTTTAAATTCATATGGTATAGTGTAAGGGGGAAAAAAAGGGAAAGAAAAACCTAGGCCAGCTTTAAGTCAAGAGTTGATGTTAGAAAGGAAAGAGACACAAAAAGATTTGACCTGAGTGACCCTAAGCAAGTCATTTAACCTCATCTTGCCTCAGTTTGTTCTTCTGTAAAATGAGCAAGTTGGACTAGAGGACTCCTTCTAGCTCAATAAAATTATTATGATGGTTATTATTTTGATTTTTGCTGTAGGGCATGTGCACTTGTGGAAGACAAAGACAGAAAAAGACAGAGGGACCCTGAAAAATCACACCCCCATCCAAGGGAGATGGCTGCATTGCAACCCCTTCTTCTGTCTCTTCTCAAGATTTTAGGCACGCGCACATAAGCATCCGGCATGTTTTACAAGTTACCAGGTCTGAGACTTGAATGATACAGCTGGCCATGTGGAATCCAGCTACCTTAACCTTGTGTCATCTGCTGGCCCAACAGAATTATTTTAAGTTCAGGGGAAAGGTGTGGAAGTAAACTGAAAGAGGTTATTATAATCTTTCATTTTCCTTTTTTATGTTTTTCCTTTATTACAGTAAAAGAAATGTAAAACAAAAAAACCCTTTGTCTATGAGTAGCAAGACTCACAATTTAAAAATTAAGAGCAGACAAAGATTTCTCCCTTTTGCTTTATGTCAAAGACCATAAGCATATTTGAAGAACAAATGTCCAGATGGAGAATGTAGATGGGAGTGGAATATGGAGGTAAAAGAACAGAAATACTATGTCTACAAAACAAATTGAAATCTGGTAATTTTATAAATACCCCACCCAAAGCCTAATTCTTTTCTTTCTTTTTTTTTTTTTTTTTGGTAGGTTTTTGCCATAGGGTGCATGTGCTTGCCAGAGAGAAGAGAGATAGTGAGAGGGAGTTAGAAATCAATCCCATCCCCCTGGGGAGGGGCTGGTCACATCACAATCCCTTCTCTTCTATTTGCCTAGAATTTGGGGCACACATACACATGCACCCAGCATGATTTTCAAGCCACTGAATCTGGGATTCAAACAGTGCTGGGTCATGTGGGATTTCAGCCGCCTTAACCACCGCACAAACTGCTGGTGCCAAAGCCTAATTCTTTTAACAAAAGTGTGCAGGGACCAGCAGTTGGTGTAATGGCTATATCACTGGACTCCCACATAGTCGACCGTGGTTTGAGTCCTGGACCTGGTGGCTTAAACTCACACCGGGTGCATATGCGTGTGTGCCCAAGATCCCGAGAGGAGAATGGAGGAGAAGGGATTGTGGCGTGGCCATCACCCCCCACCACAGGGGGGGTGATTTCTTGCTTTCTGTCTCTCTGTCTCTCTTTTTCTGGTGAACGCACGCGCCCTAGCAAAAACCTCCCCCAAAATAATAACAATAAAATTAAAATAAAAACAAGTGTGCATCAGTAGAGCCCAGGTTCCCCTGGAACACAATGTGAAAACCTAGTCCTTATCTTGAATACCTCACATGTGCATTCACTCTGAGCTTCTACCTCTCTCTCATCCAGAAACTCTATTTTGTGTTACAGTACAAAACTCTGTAGGCAAATATCCATAGATTTTCATGGTACTGTCTCCTTCGTCCTTTTCCCTGGTTTTGGTTCTTCTTTCTCTGCATGAAAGAAAAGCAGAGGAAGAGAGTAAACTTGGGACAGGAGGGAGGTGGTGTGGAGCCAAGGATGGTGTTGACCACGTCTGTCTTTTGACCTCAAGGATGCACTATTGGAGCAACGGATGTGGTGTGGAGTGTCTAGTCATGGTCAGCTCAGATCCCATGACTTTTCCCATAAAGGTAAAAAAGGCATCTTCTAACAGGATACTTTGGTCAGTTTGCTCTTTTGTTGGTGTTGCTTTTAAGACAGGGTCTTGTCATGTCACAGCCCTCCTGCTTTAGCCTCCAAATAGCTGGGCTCATAGGCACATGCCACCACACCCTTTTAGACAAGAGGTCACTGTGTTGTCCAGGCCAGCCTCAAAATAGCACAACCCCTGCCTCAGTCTTCTGAGTCACTGGGTTTACAGGTGCACACACCACACCTGGCCTTAGGTTGGACTAAGAATGGAGCCCAGGCCTTCCATCTCTCCCATCTCAGCATGAGAGCCCAGCATCTTAACTGTGTGCACCACCGGTGCCAGGCCTGGTCACGTCTGTATTTAATGTCTATTTTTAATTCACAGGCATGCTAAAAATCTGACTCTCATCTGTCTTAGCTCTTCTGAGTACCCAAGATGTCAATTTATAGAACTTTACACTTAGATTTGAGCAGAACAGTCTTGCAGTCTCTTCCAGCACCACCCATGGGGCTTCTGGGACAGGCAATGTGGCAGGCAGGAAATGCTTCTCACAAAGCCTCTGAAGATTTTTATCTCTTGGATTCCAAGGCTGACCTTGACTGTCTGCATATGGATCTGTAGAATTCAAGGATCCCAGTTTGCTATGAGCCATTGTATTGTCATGTAAAGGTACATACCAGGGCTTTGCCAAGGGCCTGCTCCTACATGGACCCTGAGTTACTGGTGCTGGGCAGGGCTCAGGGACAAAGCTAATGGGAAGGTTGGAGGAAAATAATCCTGTCGACTGGGCCCAAAGAAAGAAGTCAAACATTATGTGTGCAAACAACTCATAAACCCACCAGAGTCTCCAAAGCAAATATGGTGGACTGCCCTTCCGTATACACTGCCTATTGCTCAACGTTTTTGCTGCTCTTTTACAGTGTGAAAAGACTGTGTGAAGTATTTATTATCATCTGAAGTCATGTGCGTCTATAGGAGCAGGGCAGTGGCTTTGGGCTTTAGGAGTCTTGTTCAGGCCCTGGCTTATTATTCCCCCAGGTGAGGGAGTGTTGGGGCTCCCAGATGCCAGGACTTGGAAACTCTGATCCAGTTTGCCCATTGAGTAGAGATCATGGTTAAGGGATAAACACAAGAAAATTATCTGTATTGCACAATCTAATGTTTGCAGATGGTCGAGGAATTACTCTTTTGTACTTCAGTTCCAGAAGACAGAAACTATGAACTTGTGTGTTTCTGTAGATTGCTTTGCTATGGGAATTTTAGGTGCCACCACTATTTTCCTGGTTTCCTGATGTGCCTGTGGCTTTCTACTTCTTGGCAGTTTACAATCATCATCATTATCATCATCAAACACTTATATAGCAATGACCACAGGCACTGTCCTAAATCCACTGTGTGTAATAGTCATTCATTCATTCTTCACAAAACCCAGATCGTTCTTTCAGGTGAGAAAACTGAGGAAGAGAGGCACAAAAAATTTAGGTGACTTGCCCAAGTCCACACTAGAATTCCAGCCAGTCTAATTCTAGAACCATATTCTTTTATTTTTCTAATTGCCCGAGGGCATATGCACTTGCTGAAGACAGAGACAGAGACAGGCAAAGGGAGAAATCATCTCATAATGCAGCATGACCACATGGCATTCCTTTCTCCTCCATTTCTCCTTCTCATAGGCTTTTGGGCATACACACTTGCACAAATGCCCAGCATGTTTTTCAAGCCTTGGGGGCTTTGATTTGAACCATGGTCAGTCATGTGAGATTCAGCTCCTTTAACCACTAGGTTACAGGGCTGATCCAAGAACCACACTCTTAATGATCATAATGTAAGGACTTTCAAATGCATATAGACACTGAATTCAAGTGCTCCTTAAAATATTACTTGGGGGCCAGCAGATAGTGGAGTTGTTAAGGCTCTGAACTCCCACATGGGTGACCATGGTATGAGTCCTGGACCTGGAGGCTTGAGAATCACACTGGGCTTATGTGTGTGTGCACTCCCAAAGTCCCAGCAGAATGGAAGAGAAGGAATTACAGTGTGGTCATCTCCCTGGAAGGTGATTTCTCACTTTCTCTCTTTCTCTTTCTCGCTCTGGTAAACATATGCATCCTATGGCAAAAACTTAAAATATATGAATTATTTATATATCTATACCTATATCTATCTATCATCTATCTATCTATCTATCTATATAATTACTCTGGGATATCCCAAGTCTAGTTAAAGAGGATTGTGTTTCTGTATATTATTTTTATGGACTCAAAGTTTGTGGGCTATTCTTTTTTTTTCTCATAGGTGTGTGTGATCATCCAAGAGAGACAGGGACTGAAAGAGGGAAAATGAGAAATCACCCCCCAAGGGGGATGCCCAGGCCACGATCCTTCCTCCTTCATTCTCCTCTTTGGATTTTGGGCATGGACACACAGGCACCTTGTGTGATTTTCAAGTCAGCAGGTTCGGGATTTGAACCAGCTATGTGGGATTCTAGCATCTTAACTACCATGCCAGCTGCTAGTCTTATAGACTATTCCTAAGGAGTGTGTTTATTTACTTTTTTTTATTATTACCTTGAAGTGATATTTTATTAATATTTCAATTGTTTGCTTGTATACAGTCTCTTAACTTCTGTGTTTTGATTGTGTCTCAGAAAGTCCCTAAACCAGAAGTATTTTTAGAGATAGAAGAGGCCAAGAGACAGAGACAAATAATAAGGGACAGTAATACTATTTGGAATCTCTGTGGAATTGGTAAATTCCCATAATTTCCAGTTGGAAGTTTTTTTAAATTTTTTTTATATATATAGATTTTGGGTAGTATTTGATTGAAGTCATTTCTGAAAGACAGTTGTATACTATTTTATTAATAATGTTCAGAACAGATTGTTTAATATTCTGCAGAAGTAGGGATTCTACAAGGTCCCTTGGTAATTTCTTCCAAACCTCTAGTCTATATCCCTCCTACGTTGCCAGCTAGCAGTGAAAGGAAATGGATTCACAGTGACTTGCCCCTGAGCATGTCAAGCTCTGCTTTTTCAGTTATTGTCCTTGCAGATGAGTAGCCCCCACTCATTTTTGGATGCATGTTGTATTCAAATAAAATGGAAGCAATTCCATTTTCTCTTTTAAGAAAAATGAAGTGGACTTAAACTTCACCACGTCTCCTAGAAACAAAAAAATTTTTTTTTCTTTTTTTGGAGAGCTGTTTGTTTGTTTTGTTTTGTTTTGCTATAGGGCGCATGTGCTCACCAGAAAGAGAGATAGAAAGCAAGAAATCACCCCCCCCAGGGGGCCACGTCTCCTAGAAACAAAAAAATTTTTTTTTCTTTTTTTGGAGAGTTGTTTGTTTGTTTTGTTTTGTTTTGCTATAGGGCGCATGTGCTCACCAGAAAGACAGAGAGCTAGAAAGCAAGAAATCACCCCCCCAGGGGGGATGGCCACACCACAATCCCCTCTCCTACCATTCTCTTGAGATCTTGGGCATGCACGCACACGTGCCCAGCGTGAGTTTTAAGCCACCAGGTCCGGAACGCGAACTGTGGTCAACTACATGGGAGTCCAGCGACATAGCCATTACGCTAACTGCTGGTCCCATGTACTTTCAGCTTTTGAAACTCAGTGAGCTGACCATGGTGAGACCTGAGCCTCATTTCCACACAGAACTCAGCACAGTAACATTTCTTAGACTCTCCATTTGGTATGCAAGATCCGGGCGAGGAACTTGGTCCATGACGTGGAGGTGGTAAGGGAATTGGGAGGGCCAGCTGCAGCCAGGGAGACCTCTCACCTCTTCTCTTCATGCTGCCCAGGTACGCTTCGAAGGCGGTTGAAGATGGCTGCACTTCACCAAGTTCAGGGACCTTTTCTGAAAGCTTTGCTGAGGACTCACATGTCACTGAGCTGGAAAAGAAATGTGCCTCCACCTGAAACTAGTCACATAGCTGGTCCCAGATGAGAAAATGTCTGTGCAGAAAGAGATAAGTAAGGGCCTGAGGGACCTCTGAAAGACTCTGAGGTCCGTGGGGAGGGGAGCGTGGGCTGTGGCAGGCTGTCCCCCTCTCTCCACACCTCTCCCCAGGGCTGCTTTGGCAGTGAATCACATGGAAATGTCACCTAGCGCACTGTTTTAGTCGTCCTGGTCTACACTGTTGCCTCATACAGTGCAAGCTTCTTGGCAACGCCAGGAAGAGGTTCTTTTCATTTTTAATTGAATCCTAAGAGGTATATATTTTTTTCTAGAGGTGCCAGCTTAAAGCAATTACTAGAATTCCCAATAGGGCTAATCAGAGCTTTATAGAAAATAAAGATGGAGGAGAAGACCTTACCCAATAGGTTTCTGTCATTCTGCTCAGAAGGCTCTTGCAGTCCAGGGCAGCAGTCACAGATTTTGGCATTGTAGGTGATTAACAGGAGCCTTGAAATAAATCCCTGCCCAGTGAGATAAGAGAAACTGATTTCTCCGCTTGAGTATCTCTCCCCTGATGACCAGACACCACCCTTTTCATCAGTTGTTTATCAAAATCAGATTAGCGAAAGAGTAATCAGATCAGAATTGTCCGTGCCTGTCTCAATGTGGAATTACAAATGACTTTCATGTGCTGCTTGAGCAAATCCTGTGACCTATGGATGAACCAGCCTTTGTAGTTCCGCACCTTGTACTGAACTTAGAGTGCTCCCAAAGGCCACGGTCATTAAGCCTCCTTGGTTATCGATCTAAGTCAGCTAGGTGAGGCCAGCTCCACGGGGGCTGTGGCTACTTAAGCAACAGATTCTATCTTTGTGATAAGTCATAAGTCACTAATGGGTTATTCTGCACTCTCCCCAGTGGAAGACAATGGAGCATTTAGTAGGTTGTGGAGTTACGTAAGACCTCTCTTTCCAAACAAAGAAGAGGCAGGACACCCAGCCAAAGGGTTGAGCACAGGAGGCTGTGTGGTCTGGTGGTTCCAGAGAGAGACGTGGGGCCAGGGCTTCCTGGGTTCAGCTACCAGCCGAGACTCTGACTCAGGGGGGAGGAGAGCCAAGTCTCTTGGCTAGAGGCAGATAGACCGTAAAAGCAGGAGAGAGAAAACCACAGGTCTGTGCTCAAGGACTCTGGGGGAAAAACACATTTTGGAAATTAAAAAAAAAAAAAAAATCACCCTGTTATATTACAATTTGGGACTTTTTCAACAAGAAATGTGCATTTTTTTTTTCCTGCTTATTGGCTGACATGTCCTCCTCTGGGCAGCAATGTGAAGCCACACCACTGTCTGAGGGTGTTCTGTGTGGGATGAATAGAGAAGCCCGGGGGTCTGAGTAAAGTTAGTCAACCTTGGTGAATTGTCAAAGTAAGGCTCGGGGAGCTGGGGACTGGGGCACCGAGGTTCTGCATGAATCCCTCCCTTTTAGTGATCTTCCCTTCCACAAGCAATTGCCCTCTGAAATCATGGGAGAGAAAAAAAGCCTTCCCTCTGGCTTCTGGATACTTCCCTTCACCCAGGCTGAGCAGAGACGTGCTCAGATGGAACCGGCTGCCTGTTTCGCTGCAGACACACACCAGCCCAAGGCGCAGTCGGAGCTGAGGCTGATGGAAACACACCCTCCAAGTCCCACTGGCTCTGAAACTCTGCTAATTCTGGCCAGACAGAGTAGGTGGCTACCTACATGGTGGGGTTTGAAGGACTGCTGGGCAGGTTCCCACTTCCTGGCTTCATAGCTCGTTTCTTTGGACTTGAAGGGTCTTCTGATCTTTACAGATAGCCTACTCATATGAAAACAATATTTATGGGGGATCTTGCTATTTATCATCAACACTAGAGTCGACAATACCTTAGCAGAAACTCAGAGAAATGGGACAGGAGATGAAAGAGGGGCAGATTTTGCTGTGGTAGTGGAGGGGAGTGTTGGGGAGGGAATCTCATCTCTGGAGGAGTAGATAGAGCCCAGGAGAGGAAAAAGCCTCCTCCAAAATTCCAGACAGAATCAGGTGGGTCTTGAACCATGGCAGGGGTCCCTGCCTCCCTCTTCAGCAGGCTTCCATGTGGAAGAGGAAAGTAAACTCATGCCCGAGAAAAACTACAGATCCCCTCATCCCCCATAGACAGAGAGTCTTGTTAAATAGAAGACTTTGCGTCTCTGTTGAAATTTTTGTATTTGGATTACAGCTGCAGTATCTGCTTTTTCCCAAGAATAACAGACAAACACGAGGGAACTTCAAAAAGTTTGTAGAAAAATGGAATTAAAGTATGAGTTAATTTTGGTGTTAAAAAAATTGAAATTTGGGACTGGCAGATGGTGTAATGGTTATGTCACTGGACTCCCACGTGGTTGACTGCAGGTCGAGCCCCGGACCCAGCAGCTTAAAATTCACGCCAGGCACATATGTGAGCATGCCCAAAATCCCAAGAGGAGAATGGAGTAGAAGAGATTGCAATCTAGGGGGGCAGCCCTTCTGGGGGGGGCGATTTTTCACTTTCTGTCTCTCTGTCTCTCCAGCAAGTACATGCACCCTAATCGCAAAAAATCTCTCTCTAAAAAAAATTGAAATCCATGCGTGGTTTTTTCTTAGTGTGTAGTTATCATAAACGTTTTGAACATTATATATGTCCCATATTCCTGTGATTAAAGGATCTTACTAATGACCTTCTCAAACAAACAAACAAAATTTCCTCTTAAGTACCCATCCTTCAGAAGGTGTCAATAAACATATGTCAATATTTGTTGGAAAGATATGAAAGAACAGGAAGCTGTCTCAGAGTTAGAGTCCCCACATACTAATTTTGTTTTTATTTACAATCTGCATTTAAAAATACAATAGCTAACTATAGTCCTAAGCTTTATGAAGACTACCTTATAAAAGATATAAATGTGTCAAATGAAAAAATGTAACTTATCATGACCTATTAAAATAGATTGGGGACTATCAAGGGACAAAGTAGATATTCACTATATAATTTCAACAGCCAAGTTTGCCACAAATTTAAAAATTGATTTTTTAAGTTGTTGGGGTTTTTGTTTGTTTGATTAATTTTTTTTTTTTTTTTTTTTTTTTTTTTTATAGTTTTTTTTTTTTTTTTTTTTTTGCTAGAGGGCACATGTGCTCACTGGAGAGAGAGAGAGAGAGAGAGAGAGAGAGAGTCAGTAAGAGGAAAAGTAAGAAATCACCCCCTGGGGAGGATGGCTACACTACCATCCCCCTCTCCTCCATTCTCCTCATAGAATTGTGGGTAGGCATGCATATATACCCAGCATGAATTTCAAGCTGCTGGGTCCAGGACTCGAACTGCCTTGGCCATGTGAGAGTCCAATACCTTCACCACTGTGACACCTACTGGTCCCTAAAAATTGATAACTAATGTTTTCAAGTTCAGTTTGGAGAATAAAGCTTCATTTGATATTTTCTGATAAAACTCAAAAATAAATCTTTTATGATTCTTAAGTGAGGTCAGTGACCCACAGAGTCAAGCACACCAAAGATATTTGATGGTTGGTTGGTTTTGAAATAAATGAGGGACTATACATTACAACCTAATAACCAATGGATTGATGTAGAAAAGTTAAATAAAGAATTCTTTTAAAACGTGAGGGTTAAACATATTTTTGTTGTCCTAGTCCTGTGGCCAGGTAGAAAGGGAGCTAGATCCCACATGGTCAGCTGTGGTTTGAATCCTGGCCACAGTGACTTGAAAAACATACCAGGTACATGTGTGTACCCAAAAACCCAGACAGGATAGAAAATTGGAGAAGGAAAGAACCCCATTGAGGGATACTTTCCACCTTTCTCTCTCTCTCTCTGTGGTGAGTACACTTGGTCCTGTGGCCAGGTAGAAAGGGAGCTAGATCCCACATGGTCAGCTGTGGTTTGAATCCTGGCCACAGTGACTTGAAAAACATACCAGGTACATGTGTGTACCCAAAAACCCAGACAGGATAGAAAATTGGAGAAGGAAAGAACCCCATTGAGGGATACTTTCCACCTTTCTCTCTCTCTCTCTGTGGTGAGTAAACTTGCCCTTAGGTAAATTAAAAAAAAAAAAAAAGTCACACAAACATGCTTCTATTACATTCAACTGGAAGTTAGATGAAAAACAGAAGAAATGTCTCAGGTTTGACTTCCATCTGGGAGAAGAACTGAGAGGAGCAGCCACTTTGAGAAACGTGTGTAAGGCCAACAAAAAAGAGATCCAGTCAGCACATAAGCCCATGGGCCTCTCTGTGTATCAGTAAAAGTTGGCACTATCATTTTTTATTTTATTTTTTGGGAGAGGTTTTTGCTATAGGGCGTGTGCGCTCACAAGACAGAGAGAGACATAGAGACAGAAAGTGAGAAATCACCCCCCAGGGGGGATGGTCACGCTGCAATCCCTTCTCCTCCATTCTCCTCTTGGGATCTTGGGCACGCACGCACACGCGCCCAGCGAGAGTTTTAAGCCACCGGATCTGGGTCACGAACCACGGTCGACCACATGGGAGTCCAGCGACACAGCCATTACACTAACTGCTCATCCCAAGTTGGCACTATCTTATTTTCAAAGCAGAATCTCTGTCTTGAGGCCCATTTGATAATATTTCTAGTTTATAAAAAGGAAGTCACAGAAGGGGACAGCAGAGCTCCTTTTCCACTTGATGTGAACAGACACTTTCACGGATGAGGGGGAAGTGGAATAGGTTATGTAGAATCTGGCTAAGGAAGGAAAAAGCGAAATGTAGCTTAGTGCCTCCATCGGCCACTTTGCTAAGTGCCATTTCATTTCATCTTCCCCCACAGTGGCGGGAGGCAGTTCTATTTTCCCCTTCTTTACACACGAGGAAACTAAAAAACAAAAGACTTGCCCAAAGTCACACAGCAAGGAACAGCCAGACCTCCATCGCCAAACCCTACAGCCTGAGCACTACAGATGGAAATCCAGCATGGAGCTTGTGTCCTGAAGTGTTATTCCTTTCATTGTGCGTTCTATAATAACTTCCTAACTAAACTGAACAAAAGGAACCATTGCGTTTTACAATTTAAATAACCAACTATTTACATTGCCAGAGAATTGGTAAGAGGAGGGGCTTGCGCAGAGATCTGACATAGAAAAGGCCGTCTGCTTTTATATATAATTATAGAATTGGATCGAATGTGTGACTCTCAGAACATTTCCCATTCTCTAAGCCAAGCTGTATTGGACAATAATAGATACAAATAAAGAATTAGCATTCTAGGTACCTTTCGTAAGATTTTTTTTTCCAGCTCAGACTTTTTGCCTGAGGACCAGTTACAACCTTGACCTCTACCACGGATGTAGAGTTCCAAAACAGAGAGAGTCACTAGACCAAAGGAATCAAATGCTTATTAGTTCTTGCCTATTCCCAAACCAGATTTCTGAGGTGAACACTAACCTGAGAAATTTAATGCCTACCTATCCCTGTGCGACATACACTTTAAAGCACATCCAAACACCGTGTTTGCAGGGATTATGAAAATTTTATTAACAAAGAAAATCTGCATTATATCTATCCCCTTTAAAAACGACCACTTCAAACATGTAGAAACACTTTGTTTTCTACTAGCTATTTGATCAATGCCAGAAGAATAAAACCGCAACAGCAAAGTACAGGCCAATATTTCTGAAGGGGATAATAATCATTTGAGATAATAAAGGACTAGAAAATCAGAAGAAATGCATCAAGGTATTCATTTCAAAGGCAAAACCACTAAGTCTTCATCCACACGAATGTTTCCACCGTGAGTCAATATATCTGGCCATTGGTTCTTCGTAATGCTCTCCTGAATATACAGTGCACATCTAAAATTACGATAGCGTTCTTTGAGTATACGGAGCACTGATAGCCAGTATGGTTTACAGAAATGTATGGCTACGTAGCCATAGTGCAGAGACAACCACCAGAAAGTGTAAAGGTATGTTTCATGATAGGAAACGGACTGGTTTCGTAAGGCAGCTTGTGAGTTTGTTTCTGATGGTCTTTAAATAACCACTCTACTGTTATCACTAAGAATCTGCCTGAACACCTTCTATTCCACCTTTCACTAATATTTTTAAAACATATTCCAGATAGGGACCAGCAGATGGCGCGTTGGTTATGTTGCTGGACTTGCACGTAGTCTACCATGGTTCGAGTCCTGGACCTAATGGCGTAAAACTCATGCCAGGCGTGTGTGTGTGTTTGTGTGTGTGTGTGTGTGTGTGTGTGTGTGTGTGTGCATGCCCAAGAGCCCGAGAGGAGAGTGAAAGAGAGGGAGAGCTGCATAGACATCCCCTCAGGGTTGATTTCTTGCTTTCTGTCTCTCTGTCCAGTGAGCACACAAGAGAGTATAGCAAAAATTTCTCACTAAAACAAAACATAGCAAAAAACATATTCCAGATATACTGCATGCAAGAAGGAAATGGCAGGAGTGTTAGATTCTGATGTCCAAAACGTGAATAGAAAACGTGGCTATAATGGGTCCTCCCTGTCAGAACAACCCAACAGGAAACCCCGCAGAAGAGATCATATACTCTTTAAGCCAAGGAGGGAAAAAAGGCCTGTTACTTGACTACAGTTTCTAGGGCCCTGGTGCAGCTATATTTTTAGGCAGGGCTCCAAGGAGCTGCCTACACAAATTTGGACGGAGCAAGGGAGGCACAGATGGCGATCACGTGAAGGCACAGACCGATTGAGTGGGCTTGCTTACAAAGTCTGTACATTTAGGCTGCTGTATTCCTCCTATTTCAAGTACTGCCAAGTCCCGGCTGTTCCCCCTCTTTCCAAAGTCTTGATTCATTTAAGTCTCCTGAAGGAGGTGGGAGAGGAGGAGGATTGCACAAATCTTACTGTTTTATGGTTTCAAAGAGATAGTCACCATCTTGGCTCCTTGTCAGATTTTAAATGTAACATTTTGCTAAGTGTAAAGCTGTGTATCTGTTCCTCTTCTGTTGCTGCTATTGTAACTTCAATATTTGCAAAACATAACATCAAAATACTTCAAATCCAGCCCAAAGCAGTTTATTATTCATGAAACACAATCCTTACACGTATCAATATACAGGGAACTCACAGCAAAGGAATCTTTTCTTGGTTTTTTGTTTTGTCCCTCCCAGTCACTTTTACTTCTTATACTTTTTTTTTTCTCTCTTTGAGGATTTAAGAATGATTTAATCGCATAATAGCAAAATCTCCTTTGTGTGTGTATGTGTGTGTGTGTGTGTGTGTGTGCGTGTATCTCAAAGGACTACAAAAAGTTAATGAAAAATATAATTAAACTATGACATTAGTACCAAAAAAATCTGAAACCCATGCACAGTTTTTTGTGATACTCATTTCCATGAATTTTTTGAAGGACCCCCCCTTTATATAAACACCCCCAAATATTAGACTATTAAAAAGCTTATAACGAAGTCAACTCTTAGTGACTGCATTATTTAGAAAAAGGAAGCACATAAAGTTATTCTACCATTTGAAATACCCTCTGTATCCCCTGTAAAGCATAGAGCACCTTAATGATGTGGAAAATCTTAATTTTCTAATATAAAAACCCATAGTGTTTCCTATAAAAAGTTGTTAAAGATACTCAAGGTGTGCTTCCAGCGGTGTCTGGTCCATGGTAACTAGCATTAAATCTCTACTTTCTTACTCTTTGCAGGACAGCCTAAAACATTCCATAGTCTCAGTTGTTTTCCTCTTTGTGTAGGAGACTATCAAAAATCAAAACAGAATCAGTTATCAAGATTTGTTTTAACAGGGCACAGGTATTTTTCAAGTCATGTTCAGGATGCTCAGCATTCAGTCCAAGTAATTTTTGTATGATCAATCCTGCTCTAGAGTCTCTAAGAGTCTCATCCTCTGAACTTCCCGGTGTGCCCTGTTGGCCTGAACTAAGGGTTAGGAAGGCCATTTTTAACACAAGTCAAAACATCAGAAAGCTTTAACATCTGTTAATCAGGTGTTTTATCTGGAGGACACACAAGATATTTATAATCCTCCAGCTTACTGACTTAACATTTTCCTTTTTATTTGGATATTTATATTGTCTGGAAATTGACACCATTATAGCAATCGATGAAATTATTTCCCTATATTTTAAGGCAAACAAGAAAATGTTTTAGGGTAGAATTTCATGATTAGTAAAGTATATCAATAGGCAATGTGAAGAGGCAAATTAAGCTCAATTATTGTCTCAAATTCCTGTTTTCAACAGTGCATACTAATGCAGAAAGTTCTTGATAAATTTATGCTGCATTCATTTCCATTTTGAGCTCCCCAAACATTGAGGTTGTTCAGGATTTAATAGTAACAAGTTTCCCATCATAGGATACTTGTGCTTTAAGTCATAGTCACATAAAAACGAAACAAAACAAAAACTACCCTTCAAGTCAATGGATACATTGCTCCAATAGGGACAGCAAAATATTATTCTGAGTTTCTAGGTTGACTTGATTCTGCTTACAAATCAATAATGGGATTGATGATGTATCAGGCACAGTTGTGGGAACAGAACATATTGGCACAACTCCATCTTCCTTGCATGTCTTTAGGTTGCCAAGAGAGAGACTTTCCAAGGCATCACAAATGTGTTATTTCTATAAGCATTTCCTACTACAAATGTTCTTGTTTTTGTTTAAATGAGTCTTTTCAACCTGAGCTATTCATAAAAAGAAAAAAAAAAGAAGAAAGAAAGAAAAAGAAAAAGTTCCCTTGTAATGCTTGGCTTTCAGAAGAAACTTTAGGCCTCTTCTCTTGTGAGAGTAATTTCTCTTAACACCGACAGTGCTAAGTATAGGCAGAGCTCATTAAATAGACTTCTGAGCATAATTATAATTAACAATTAGCTAGAAATTAGTTTTAATGATTTGTTTTAGGTGATAGAATAGAAGCATAATGTAATTATTTTTAAACCTTCTACATCATTGAGAATACAACTACCACCACCTTTCAATTATGGAGAAGCAAGATAATCATCGACGCATTTAGCAAGTGATCTACTTCCAGAGCCAAACCAAGGGAGCAGGAGAGAAGGGGCCTCCGCCCCAGTCCAGGTGTTTATAATTATTTAGACTTTGGCAGAGTCTCTTCCTTTTCTACTCTGCTCTTTTAAGTTATTTCATGCCTTGAAGACACCTCTCCCAGGAAAAATAGAGATTTGACCTTGACCTTCAGCTTTCTGTTCACGTGTACCCCCATTTCTCTGAGAAAATGAGCGGTACATGCAGGAGGAGGAGTTGCATTAATGAGGGTAATGGTGGGAGGTGGAAAGGGCCTATGGAAGATGACAGGATGCAGAAAGGGGGCCTGAAATTCCAGTTCACACTATCCAACTGGACTACCAGGAGAGGCGATTACATAAGGAACAATAAAGCGAGGATTTAGAGTAGACTCTCTGGGCTGCAAAGAGAGCTC